GAATGTATATATATATATGCTTGCATGCTTTACATATCAAAGTGCTGAAAGCCATGTGGATTGAAAACAATCAAGAAATTGAGTGTGTGTGATATTCATGCTCTGGGAATCAAAGGGCAAGATTCTCTCATAAGATAAGAATAAATCCTGACTTCTACTTCCCCATTTCATGCTGGAGATATTGTTTCAATAAAGAATGAGCAAAGCCCTTGCTCAACAGCACAGTTCTGAGAGACATCTAAAGGAATGGGTGCTCAGCAGTTCAGGTCTGCTAAGAGTCAGGCTGTCTCTTTTTTGATGTTTATTTTTATTGAGTTTTTGTTCATTTCATACAATAGATCTTAATCATATTTAGACCCCCTCCCCCATTTATACCCCTCACTGCTCTCCCCCCAATTTCTGTTATATATGTTAAGGCCCATTTGGTCAAGCATATGTACGTAGATATCCCTTGGTGGAAGTTCATCCACTGGAGTCTAGTCAGCTTATCTAGAGAATATCAACTCTCCCTCACCCAACAGTAATCAGTTGCGAATAGTGCCTCAGCTAAGGTTGGGGCCTGTTGCTCATTTCCCCAATTCTCTGCTGATTTTTTTGTCTGATTGAATCAGCATGGGTCTTGTGCATGCTGTCACCATTGTTGCAAGTCCATATGAGCAAGTTCCCAGAGACCTGAAAGCCTATTTCTTTATGTTCATGCACCAACCCTGGCTCTTACAATCTTTTCACCCTCCCCCCGCCTTCTGCAATGGTCACTGAGCCATGGGTGGGTGAGGTTTAATATAGAAGTCCTATCCAGAGACATGCACTCTGCAGTGTTTTATTCTCTACACCTCAGTCAGTTGTGACCTTCTATGTGCATCATACTCTGTTGCATGAGGAAGCTTTCCTGGTGAGAGTAGAAAGACAGTATTCTCTCTACCCCTTGTTCCACTATGTTCCACGAGCCTTAGGTGTAGAGGTTCCACTGTAGATGTGTCACTTTGGGATAGGCATCTCTCAGACATAGATTCTCCGTGTATGACCAGTTGTGGAACTCTGTAATAGTCTCCATCTGTTGCAAAAAGAAGCTTTTTTGATGAGTGGTGTACAGTATATGTGTCTGTAAATATAAGGATCCATATTTAGCATACAGTAAGAAATTTCGTTTAAAAACTTGAAAGAAATAAGGTTCTTTCTAGAATCTATGACCTCTCCAGCAATGTGTATTTGGCTATGTTTACAGTACCACCCATGAGTTCCCTCCCATTGAGAGGACTTTAAGTCCAATTAGATAGCTGTTGATTACCCCCTAGATAAAAGTGCCACTACTACACCACTACAGTTTATTATGCCAGTCTCTTTTTTTAACTTTTGTGAAAGAGTATTTTATTTTCCACAAGTGAAGGTGAAATGAGGCAAAGTTTCCAGAAAAGATGTACATATATAAAGAAAGAAATAGCAAAATATTTTTCAATCATAATTTAGAAACAAACCCATGTATAAAAAGGGTTTATTTTTATAAGCCCTCAGTTCATCTCCTCCACAGCAGAATGTCAGTAGCCTCAGTTCCTAGAAATCCTCAGCAGGCCACGGATGCATGACAAGAGCCTTATGAAACTATACAAAAGAAACTTTTGGATATTGAAGGATTATATTCAAAGGTTCGATCCTGCCAGTCTCTTTTTTAAACATAACAGTAATATGGCTTAGAAATGCCACAGTCCAGCCTAGCATTCAACTCTGAATTGTCCTGCCTCAGTCTCCTAAATGCTAGATTATACATGTGTACCACCATGCCTAGAAAAGCAGACCTTTTGATTCCAGCTGTATTCCTCAAGAATGATCCTGATCTTGCCTGAACTCCTTAAATGGATCTGCAGATCCAAATCAGTCATGAATGGAGGCTCCCTAACAAGGATCCCTAAAGGGTATTAGCTGCTCAAGAAAAAGATGTCTTTCAACAGTGAACATAATGGAGTTTATCCATTGCTAGTAAGGGAAGTACAGACCTGCCTTCAGGGTCAAACAGACTTGGATGAGACTCTGGTTCTACTTTGTGACCTTGGAATCACATAACCCCTCTGCATTAGCATCTTCTAGAGGAACAAAATGAATATATATGTCTAAAAGACAGAATTAATATATATTATAAAAAGAAACTTGCTAGAACAACTTACACGACAGGAGCTGGGTCATCCAACAATGCCCATCTGTGTGCTAAGAGGCTGAGAACCTGGTAGCTGCTCAGTCCATAAAGCTGGATGCTTTAGCAATTACAGTCTGGCACTGAAAGCCTGAAAGATTCCCAGAGAGCCACTGGTCTTCAGTCCCCATTGAAACCTAAAGATGCTAGAATCTGAAGTCAATGAAGGATGGCGGTGGTGGCGGCAGCAGAGATAGATGTGCTCACCAGCAAGAAACAAAAGCCAGCAAGCAGCACTGTTTTTCCTATGGCTCTCTTTGTGTTTAGGGCCCTGTAGACGGTGATATTGGCACTAGGGGAGTCTTCTCTCCTTACTTAATCCTTCCCAGAAATGCATTCACAGACTTGACCAGAGGTGCGACTCTCAGTTCATTCCAGATCCAATCCAGTTCACAATCAAGATTAATGATCACATATTCTTGGAATCTATTTCCTTTCCTGTGAAATAGAAAAAAATCTATCTACTTCATGGAAGGATCAAGAGGGTTAACAGGGTAAATATAAAGTTCCCAGCGGTGTCTGGCTATGTGAGCACTCAGTCAACAGTACCAACCAATATGAAAGGCCACTGATAAGAACTGGGCTTTGCATGTTTCCATGGTATAGCACAATCCAAGCAACCAGCATCCCCTTCAAAGGTCTACTGTCCTTGGCAGGTGTCAGCAAGAAGCGTTCTCTACTGGAAAGTTTTCCCTGTTTCTGGCCAGGTCATCACCCACATTGTGGCTATCCACTGACTAGGACTCCTGGACTCCTAGATACAGGCTTGTTAAGGAGAAATCCCCTGCACCTAAGGGACTTTGTAAGCTGAGAGAGAAACAGGCACAGCCAGTCCCCTCCCTTTACTGGGTTTAGATAGATTATAGATAGATGATAGATGGATGAATAGATAGATAGATAGATAGATAGATAGATAGATAGATAGATAGATAGATAGATAGATAGAGATACACATATGTATACACATGAGTATGGAGGCCAGAGGTCAAAATCAGGAGGCTTCGTCAGTTGCTCTCCTTTTTTTTTTTTTTTTTTTTTGAGACAAAGTCTCTCGCTGAACCCAGAACTTGCTGATTTGTCTAGACTGGCTGGCCAGCAAGCCCCAAAATTCAGGGATCCTCTTATCTTGTCTCCATCTCCCAGTGCTGGGATTACAGGTGCACACTACCATGCCTGGCTTTTTATATGGGTACTGAAGATTCTAATGCAGGTCCTCATTCTTGCCCAGTAAGCACTTTACCAGCTGGGTCATCTCTCCAACCCCCTGATCTCTCTTTACCCTCTGCTTCACTCAACTTAAGGCTACACAAGATGTTTATCACACTTCCCAGTTGGGTAATTAAAGGGAAGGACAACATTGGAACAGACATGATGCAAGAAATAAAGCCTCTGATAAATCATATATTTCTCGGCTGATTCAGCTATGCCAAGGCCTTCCTCAAGCTTTCCAATTACCATATGCAAGTATTCCACTAAATTCTTAGTCAAAAACAGACCTTGCTAGCTCTCTCTCTCTCTCTCTCTCTCTCTCTCTCTCTCTCTGGCAAGAGACAACCATCAATGCTGACAGCCTCCCACTGCCTATCTCTCTCTTCCACATATTCTTAGTGAGCAACAGCCTACAAATGTGAAATAATGACCAGAAATTAGAACCATTTTTCTATGCCTGTGCTACAGTATTTCAGAGAACAAGGCTGGCTAGCTTTCAGAAGGATCAAATAGAATTTGAAAATCACCCTGCTTTATGTGGCAAGAGCTTTAAGAATATCAAACATTTCTTGCCATTTGCAAGCAAATGGGTCAGAAGAGTCTTCCATGATTATCTCTTCCAGAAAAGAGCATTTTGAAACTACAGAAAATGGATGTTACCAAGAAAAATAACCTGCTTTAAGGGAAAGAGAAAGACCCCGAGATACCTGAGAAATAGAGGTGGAATAACTTCCTTTTCCCACACATGGACTCTCCAAGCACAAAAGCAGCATATTTCAAGCAGAAAGCTCTTTCCAACGCACAAATACTGGGAAGATAGACTAAGACATCAGCGCATTCTAAACACAGCTGTGTTAGCCCACACCTCCTGCTTGCCAGGCCTGTTCGATTTAACCTGGCAACCCACGGGGGGTGAAAGGCTTCCACCTCCAATTATCTAACCTCTGTGGCTTCTTTTCTCCTAGCATTACTAATGTTGATGTTGGATATAGAAAACTGACCTCTTATTAAATGTTGCAGCCAACAAACAGGTTTTCATAATCTTTTGTTTCACACTAAATGAGTCTTTAGAAGACCATAATTTATATTCATTCCAAAACCAAAATGCCTACTCACTTGCTCTGAATGTGACAGAATGCTCTTCTAGGGCGCTACTGTCCTTCCCCAATGCCAATATAAAGTATATGAGCCACAACCATCTCCAGGAGAATGTATTAATTTAGTATTGAAAAACAGAACTTAAGGCTTGCCAAGCAGTTTAGCAGATGATTGTGAGCCCTCAGAGTCACCTGAGAGAAAGGACCACAGAGGTTGTCAGGGATGTGTAAAACCCCAGGTTGTCATCAAGATAACTATCAGGTGCCCTGGCTGGACTGGTTAACTTAGGCCTGCATCAGGAGGCTATGGGGCAGGCAAGAGAATGCTTATGGTACAGTGTCAGCCTGTCCCTAGTTAGGGCCCGAGGGTAAAACCGACTGAGCATCAGCATCCAATAGATAACAACAAAAACCATTATCTCTCCCTGGCTGGGCTGCCAAGTGCAGGGGCCAGGATTGCCTGGTGTTTGCAGTTTCCATAGCAGCGCTGTTTTGTTCTAGCTGGCAGAGTACACAGAGAGGACAGGATCAACATTGCAGCAAATGACATGAACAACCCGAGTCCTGAGCCTAGGATCTCTCAGCAGGCTTTGCCCTTTGTGAGTCAGTGACGGAGGTAAGGATGGATGCTCTTTGGGAGATGCCTGGAAACTAACAGCTCCTTCAATCAAACTCAGGGGCTGCCTGAGCCTGGCCATCCATCCAAAGCCATAGCTCTGGGCCTCTCTATCTCATTTCCCAGAGTGCAGGAAAGTATTTAGGATTTCATTAACATGTTGGGAGAAACCCCTGCACAGGCAGAGAGGGATGGGAGAGAGGTCCCACTCCCCTCTTCCACCTGGAATTGTGTTTTGTTTGGTTTGGTTTTAATTTTCTTTTCTGAAGCCTTTGTCCTGTCCCAGATGACCAGGGAGGTGCCTCTGAGGTCCTGATCACTGGTACAGAGCACGTGCATGAGGGTCAGCAGACAGACCAACTCCTTCACCCCTTGTACTGGAGACCAGAAGGGAAATCATAGAGAGGATAGTGAATTGTTCAGTTCCACTATTTGCTGGACATACAGCTACTATTTGTTACTAATGAGAAGGAAAAAAAGACTTATCCCAGCTGTATATATTAATCATATCATATGTGATCTATTGGATTGGCTTCTATCCATTGTATAGAAATTGACCAAGTTATCTCAGAATAGAAAGCAGCTTTATCTCTAGCACTAAAGATGCCTGGTAGTTTCTTATATTTCTTAAATTACCTTTTATTTGTGTGGGAGGGAAGGAGGTGAGTGTATGTATGCATGTGTGGAAGCAGAGGTCTATGTCAGGTGTCTTTCTCAATCAGTCTCCATTTTATTTTTTGAGACAGGATCTCTTAGTGAACCTCTTACTCACTAACTAGTCAGCAAGTCCAAAGGATCCTTCTGTCTGTGCCTGGCCAAAGCTGGTATTACAGGCATGTACCATTACAGCCATCCTTTTATGTAGATGCTAAGGATCCACACTTAGGTCCTCTTGCAAGCACTTTACTGATTGGCCCATATCTCAGCCCCTAAAGATTTTTTTTATGTGCATGATTGTATTGCCTACATGTGTATAAGTGTACCCGTGTCATGCAATGCCCACAGAGGTCAGAAGAGGGCATTGGATTCCCCTGGAACTGGAGTTACTGATGGTTGTTAGCCAAAAGATTTTTAATGTTCGTTATGCCATTTCTTTCTGTCATGGTCATGATCTTACAGTGACAAATGGGAAAAATTAGAAGTGCCATTAAACTTTGTGTTTGTGAAAGGTCATAATGTCAGATTAAAGTTGAGAGGGTACAAACTCCAAACCTTAGCCACAAACTCAACCTATTAGTCTGAATAGCATCTCTTTTCCCCTATCTGACAAGACACAAGGGATTTAATGCAAACAAATTGGCTGCCTCTCTCCTCCCTGCTCTAAGATATGGCTATTGTAATGTTACTTCTGCATATGGGTGAAGCTGGACACATTTCACATAACCCAAAGCCTTTTCCTATCTGAATATCAGTACCTTTGTATCTTTGGGTTAATGTCCTTAAATGCATTTTATTCAGATAAGCCAGAATAAATACACTCAGATCTAAACACTGAAATTAGAAGGGATCGAAGGATACAGCTGATACAGAAGGGGTTGCAGAAATCCACTTATTGACCCAGCAAGGTAAACATAGGACAGATATCTGAAGAATTGGTTTTGACTTTGATCAAAAGTCAGACTTCATGGATCTTTGTTTCTCACAATAATGAGCATTGCCATGTACACTGTAGGTCCTCATAATTGTGTGCTGAATTAATGATATGCTCTGAGCATCAGTATCAAGAATCTGGAATGTACTCATAACACCCGAGGCTCATGCTGCTCAGCCTCTGACTCCCTCCTGTTGATTCCTGGTGGGAAGCCCAGCCTCTGAGCACCCTCATTTCACAGGTCCTGTCCTGTTGCTGCAGCTGAAGCTGGAAAACAAGGTAGGTCATGCCTTGAGGGGGAAAGAAGCAACGATTTCTACCCTGTGTGCTGAGACTAGGTTGAGGACCTATTCTTCCTAATTATGAGTTGAAAACAAGAACAGTTCTGTCCTTGCGGTCCCTCAGGAAACAAACATGTCAGTGCTCTCATTGTTTCATGTTCATGTGCAGCCCTCGGCCTGCATTGCACAAAGCATACTCAAGATTGATTCAGTAGAAGAAAACAAAATGTAACAAAGAGCTCCTCACATCTAAGATTTCACAGTTTAATATTAACCATCATTTAAGGAGAACTTAATAACCTCCGTGTACTGCACTAAGCATGTTATTAACATCTAATTTATTCTTCATACTTATAAAATATGTAGAGCTCAGAGAGGTGATCTAGCTTGCTCTGGGTCACACAGCTAGTAAGAGAAGGAACTGAATATGAAACACAGGGTTGACTGACTGAATCCCAGCATGCTCTTTGCTTTACATTAAGCTCTCCCCACCAGCCTAAGGCAGGAGACAGTACACACTGTATAAATGATAAATGAGTCTACAGAAGCATGCAACTGACACTTCCAGAGAGGCAGGAGGGGAAAGAGCATTTGAAATGCATAGGATCTTTTTCAGCATTTTTGAATAGACAAAAAACATTTATAGGTTTCAAAAATCGAAAAATCTACAGGTTCAGTGAAACAACTTATTCCATTCTGTTCTCTGTCTACCCTCTAGAAAAGCAAGTACTTTATCAGATCTTTAAATATCCTTTGGCCTTCCCCTATGTAAATAAAAAGCATATGAATGTGTGTGCGTGTGTGTATGTGTGTGTGTGTGTGTGCCTGTGTGCCTGTGTGCATGCGTGTCTGTCTGTCTATCTTTGGGTTTTGGCTCTTTGACATGGGGTCTCATATAACACAAGTGGTCTACATAGCTATATAGCTGAGGCTGGCCTTGAACTTCTAATTCTCCCACCTCTACCTCCCAAGTGCTAGGATTGCAGACATGCTCACCATGCCCACATCACAGGATTACAGGCCTGTACCATGACACACAACTGAATATATATATATATATATATATATATATATATACTATTTCCCCCATTTGCCATTTCATTTAACCAATCAGGGCTTTTCATTCTTTCCATGGTGATACATAGAGACCTTCGTCATCTTCCATTATGCGCTCAGACACCATGTGCTGCATTGCAACTTGGCCAGTTCCACAGTGATAGGCAGTTGACTCTGATCTTTTGATATCAAATATAATGCTACAGTGAATAATTGTAACATTATGCCATTCCACACATGTACCATTGTGTGTGTGTGTGTGTGTGTGTGTGTGTGTGTGTATAAAACAACTTACCATACATGGATAACTGGATCAAAAGGTTATCTGTGTTTTGCTTCAGATAGGCATTGGCAGCTTGTCCTCCATAGTGCCCACCAACGGGCCTTTCACTAGCAGCAGAACCCATGACAGCAACGGTGTGTCAAGGCTTTGAGTTCATAATAGCCGAGAACTGAACCAAGTGCTTTGTCCGTGTGGTGCTAATTCTCCTTTCTTTTATGAGTAAATGCTCAAAGAGGCTTTTTTATATTTAAAGGGGTTTTGTATTTCTTAATGGAGAACTCTATTTTTGTGTGCTTTGACCCTCCCCTTCTTTTCCAGTTCTGTAATTTCCCTCATAAGAACACTGAAGCTTATAGTACAGGAAAACATGTTATGAAATACACAGTCTTAGTGATAGGGCCAGAATTTGAACCCAGGTCTGTCCCCTGCAGACCCTGAGAGTTTACCACCAACATGTATTGTCTTGTATTAATTATTGTTACCATTATTATTATTAACTTAGTTTAGTTTTATTTTAGTTAATAATAATATATTATTTGAGGTTTTTTGAGATAAGGTCTACAGTAGCCCAAGCTGGCCTTGAACTCACTATTTAGCCAAGGATGGCCTTGAACTCCTGATCTTCCCCACCTCCCAAATACTAAGATTGCAGATATGTACCACCATGCCCATATTACACATGCGTGTGTGTATGTATGTTATGTATGTGTGTATTTATATATATTTGAGACAGGGACTCCCTGTAGTCCCAGCTGATTTGAGACTCACTATGTAAACCAGGCTTGTCTGAATTTCATGGGGATCTGCCTGTCTCTGCCTCCTGAGTGCTGGGATTAAAAGCTGGGATTTAAAGGAAATAATGTTGGGTATGAGTGAGACATTTGTGAGGCTGATCTGCCTAAGGCCTAAATAAGCTGGTGCCCATTAGTTTTAGTGTTTTAGGAGTCCTGTGTAGAGTTTGCATTTAAAAGGCATGCAGTCTTAGGCCAGAGAGATGGCTCAGAAGGTAGAGGCACTTACCACCAAGCCTGAAAGCCTGAGTTCCGTCCCCAGGACCCACATGGTGGAGGGAGAGAGCCAACTCTCTGAAGTTGTCCTTTGACCTCCACATGTATGCTATGGCACTCACACCCACATACATACGCATACACATACATACACACACGATAAATATAAATAAAATGAAAATAAACAAATAAATTTAAAGTGTGCATTCTAATTAAGAAGTACCAGCAACTCACACACAAAATGTGGAAGAGTCAAAATTGGAACTAACTCTTAACTTTGCTGAACTTGCTGAACAATACTAACTTACAAGATGCTGCATCCTTTGCTTGGTTTTTTGTTCATTTTTTTGTTTGTTTGTTTTGTTTGTTTTTTTGAGACAAGGTCTCCCTATAGCCCCAACTGGCCTGGAACTCACCATGCAGAGCAGGCTGGCCTTGACCTTGATCTCACAGAGATTCACCATCTTCTGCCTCTCAAGCGCTGGGATTAAATGTGTGTGCCACCATGCGTGACTTCCTTTGCTTAATCATTTCTATATTCTTATTACAATTTTCTTCAAAAATAAAAAAAAAGCAAAGGCTAATGAAGGTAATGAAGGTGGGGAAGGTAGAGTGGAAATTAATCTCAGTTTGGGCACTCATATGGTTCCCAGAGAGGTGATTCCATCCCCAAATGGAGCCCAGGGGATTTCTCCATCAGTCAGCACTTTCTAATCCCCTAGTTAAAAGGAGAAGCCTGCAAAGAGTGTTGCAGGCCCATCTCAGGGCTCTGCTTGGAACGTTAGGGCACAGGTATTTTCCTTCAGAAAATGTGAAAGGAAATCATTTTTATTACTATGAGAAAAGTCAAAGGGAAATAAGCTTTATTTATTATTTTTATTTTATACATATGAGTATATTGCCTGCATGTGTATAAGTGCACCTGTGTCATGCAATGCCAATGGAGGTGAGAAGTGAGTGTCAGGCCCCCTGGAACTGGAGTTACGGATGGTTGTTAGCTACCATGTGGGTTCTGGGAATTGAACCCAGGTCCTCTCCAAGAGCGGCCAGTGCTTTTAACCCTGAACTATCCCTCCAGCTCCAAATAAACTTTTTAAAGTAAAGGAAAACTTTATCAGAGTGCTAATGATTTTGTATGCCCTGGAATCAACCTCACACAAAGCCCAGTTTTCCTATAGACAACTCAGTGACACATCAATAACTTCCTTTGCTAATCTATAAGAATGATGAAATCTCAGTGACTTGAAATCTAGAACTGATATAGAAGGTTTCAGAGTGTCCTTAGTGTTTGAAGTAGACCTAAATGACATTGAGGAACTGGATGCTATTGTAAGTTGGTGAGAATGTTCTAGAAGGAGGCCATCTGAGCAGAGGCAGGACCTTATGGAATCTGCCTTCTGCTTCTGTCTGCTCTTCCATTATCTGATCAATAATCATACTCTGAGGTATAAACCTAGTCCTAAAACTTGTCACAGCTAACCATGTAAGTTAGATTCCATTGCAATTTATTTTTTCTTTCTAGCTAAGATTTGAGTTTATTCCAAATAGAAAATGAGTTCTATTATAAGTACTCATCTGCTAAGTGAAAAGGAGCCAGAACTTAAAGATTTGTAAATTTCTCAGCCTCTATTTATTGAAAAATAAAAGCCTGTTCAGAAAAGAGCACCAAAGGTGTGGCTGAATGACAATTCGGTGGAGATGAACAAGGCTTTGAAGCATGCCCTCGTTATCCACCCCAGGAGGAGCATAGCAAATTTACCTTTAAGGACCTTAGCTATGAGCCAAGAATATGATCCTGGCTCTAGAAAGTACTAGAGTGAGACCTTGAGTAAAGAGAAGACCTTGGCTGATGTTGATTGAGCTGAAAATTTCCTTCCCCTCACCTTAGGAATAGTTCCATTTTTGGAGAAGAGAGGGAAAAGATGGAAGGAAAGAGGGATATGGCTTTTAATGTTGTCTATTGGTATACAACAATATTACCATTAAAAATCATATGCTGTCTCAGTTTCTGTGGACCAAGAATCTGGGCATGGTTTAGTCACACCTTCTGGATGGGATCTCACTGGGCTATCTAGTATTGACCAAGTGAATATGGTGTACACACCTATAATCCAAGCACTCTGGTGGCTAAAGCACGAGCATCAAGAGTTCAAGGCCAAGCTAGGCATTCATGCCTTTAATCCCAGCACTTGGGAGACAGAGGCAGGTGGATCTCTGTGAGACTGAGGTCAGCTGGGGCTACAGGTAGACCCTGGCACAAAATAACAAAAGGAGTTCAAGGGCCAGCCTGAGCTATATAGCGAGTGCATGTCTCAAAACAAGTGTTGGCTAGGCCTTTGCTCTTATCCCAGATGTAACTAGGGAAGGATCTGTTGGCAGAATGCAGATCCTGATGGTCATAGGATGGTGGAGGCTTTGGATCTTTGCTAGTTATTGGCCAGAGGGAGCCCTCAGCATCTATGGGCCATCTGCAGATCCTTGCCTCACAGGGCTCTCCAACATGGCTTCCTACTTATTCAAAGCCAACAAAATGAGTGCTCTGAGCAGCCCCACCTCTACCACTCCCAGTAGAACCCTGTGCCTGATGAAACCAGAGTAATGGGGACACACACACACACACACACACACACACACACCACATCACATTTTGAAACCAGAGAGACAGCCCTTAGCTCAAAGAAAAGCACACATTGGCAGTTGCATAGATCTGATCCAACTTGGGTCTAAGGAGTCCAACAGCCTTCCTTCATTTCATCCTGTCTTCTTATTCCTCCAGGCCAAACGTGCCATGTTCCTCCTGGGGTAGATAATGAGGGCATGCTTCAAGCCTTGTTCATCTCCACTGAATTGCCATTCAGTCACACATTTGGTGATCTTTTCTGAACAGACTTTTTTTTCCAATAAATACAGGCTGAGAAATTTACAAATCTTTAAGTTCTGGCTCCTTTTCACTTAGCAATTCTAACTTTAATTCTCTCTTCTTAGACTTTGCTATAAGCAATTAAGAAGAACAAGGATATTCTTTCAGTAGTTTAGTGAGAAATCTCCTCAGCTAGAACCCTTATATACCACTGCGGGGAATGTAAACAGGAGCAGACACTACGGAAGTTAATCTGGAGATTCAGCAGAAAACTAAAAACCAAACTACATGTGACCCAGCTATATCACATCTGGGTATACAACTGAGGACTCTCAGCTAGCATATTGTAGAGGTACTTGTTTATTGCTACACTGGTCACAAGAGCTAAGAAATGGAACCAGTCTAGATATCACATCAGCTGATAAATGGATAAAGAAAATGCAGTTACCTACACAGAATGGTATTTTAATCAGCTATAAAGAAAACTGAAATCATAACATTTGCAGGAAAATAGATACTACTAAAGATCATTACGTTAATCAAAATAAGACAGGCTCAGACAAATGGTACATAGCTTTTTCTCTCTCTTTAATGTGTGTGTGTATATGTGTGTCTGTGTCTGTGTCTATGTCTGTGTGTCGTGCCTGTGTGTGTGTGTGATGAAAGTAGAAAGGGAAGCTGGCCGTGGTGTTGCACACCTTTAATCCCAGCACTCAGGAGAAGAAGCAGGTGGATCTCTGTGAGATGGAGGCCAGCCTAACTTACCTAGACAGGTCCAGGCAAGCTGGGGCTACAGGAAACCCTGTCTCAGAAAAAAAAAAAGAAAAAAGAAAGTATAAAAGGAACTGGAAAAGAAAATGAAGAGATCTTAAAGGATGGGGGGGTAATGAAATAGATGTGGCGC